ACAATTCAGCCTTTTCCAATTCTTGAACGGACGGTGGTGAAATTTTGTAAATTTTTCCTTTTATTGAATCTTTCGAAACTGGCATTTTTGGTTGTTTCGAGTGTATGGCATTGCGTAGCCATTGGACATAACGAACAAAATATGCGATACTATAACGAAGACGATTGAAATTTGAAAATCGATTAATAATGGAATCAAGACTATTGACGGACTTGTTGGTAGCATGTATAGATTTTAATTTTGACCGAAGCTCCTGCGGATCGTCATCGATAACGTTGAGCGGAGAATGTGGCCATTTTTCAGAAGGCAGGGAATTCGGACCTTTCCACCATAAATCGGACGCCAGTAATTGTTCAACGGATAAACCGCGGCTATTACAATCAGCCGGATTGTCCTTTGAAATAACATGTCTCCACTGGTCAATTACGGTCAATGATAGAATCTTGTGAATACGATTTGAAACAAAGGTTGACCATCTATTCGGGTCCCCACGAATCCATGACCATACGATTGATGAATCTGTCCATAGATAAATTTATATGAAGCCGGAAAGTATATTTTAGTGATTCTAATAATTTACAAGCTAAGACTGCACCACACAATTCCAATCTAGGAATCGTAATGGGTTTACGAACGGGTGCCAGTGTACTTTTAGAAATGAGCAAATTGATGTGAATCCTCTCCGACGATGCTACGGTACGCAAATAAATTGATGCTGAATAAGCCCTTTGTGAGCTGTCGCAGAATACATGCAATTCACTACACTGGTTTTCACGTGTTGTTTATACCCAGCGGGGAATTTTAATTTCGTTGAGATATTTAAGCTGGTGAATCATTTCATTCCAGTTCGAATTTAATTTTGATGGCAATGTTTCGTCCCAATCAATGTTCCGCTCCCAAAGTGTTGTAAGAAACAATTTCGCTTTAGTGACAAATGGATTGATCTACCCTAATGGATCAAAGAGACGACCGATGAGAGAGAGTACCGTTCGTTTGGTAGGTGGAGCCTCACTGATCGAAAAGTTGATATTGAATGAAAAACAGTATTCTTTCATCGACCAACAGAGGCCGAGTGCTTTAACGTCATCACTCGAATTGAACAAACACGTTGTGTCCTGATTGCGATATTCGAGTGGAATATGATGAAGAATTTCCGAGGAATTGCTAGCCCATTTTCGTAGTTCGAAACCAGCATCCCGGAGCATTTGAATATTTTTGTTAGTTAATTCAATTGTTTCGCTTCCCGAAGTAACATCATCAACGTACGTTTCATTAGTAATTGCTGTGTAAGCAAACGGATACTGTTTTCGCTCCAGTTTAGCTAATGTTTGTAATGTTTTTATTGCCAAAAATGGTGAGGGCTTGAGTCCGAATGTGACTGTTTGGAGAGAATATGTCTTGATATGGTTGTTGTCTTCCCAAATGAGCTGTTGATATTTTGTGCCGTCAGCATGAACATCAATACAGCGATACATTTTCTCAATGTCTGAAACAAAAACAAATTTATGAGTTCGCCAATTTAAAATAATCGAAACAATATCAGATTGCAGCGAGGGGCCTGTCGTAAGCACATCATTAAGAGAGTTTCCGTTTGATGAGGGTGCTGATCCATCGAAGACTTGTCGTAGTTTTGTTGTAAGACTACCTTGTTTGATCAGAGCGTTATGTGGTAAATAGAAGTGCTTAATTGAATCTGGTAGGAAATTATCGTCATTGATCGTTTCTACCTCCTTTACTTGCCGTAATAGTTTATATTCGTTAAATGTGTCGACATACGCCTTATGAAAATTGCTATCGCAGTGGAAACGTCGTTTAAGACATTGAAAACGTTTAAGCGCCATAGAGAAAGAGGATCCCAAGTGAATCGATGGATCAAAATACCATTTGAATGGCAAACGGGCCAAAAATTTTCCAGTAGATTGTCGAGTGGTGGTTTTTTTCATAAAACCGTTCTGTGCACTCATCTTTCTTAGACCCTTTTCTTTCGATTGGAACTTGCTCCAGTTCTTGGAATCGTTTAATGCATTCGCCTATTTCTACGGTGGAAACATGAAAACAATCATTTAACAGAAATCTTGTTACGTGATTCTGGTGCTTGAGTTGATAAAATCCAACCTAAAGAAGTGTTTTGTGCAATGGGCTCCCCGTCTTGGCCTTTACATAAACCACCTTGAAGAATTTTTGCTGTAACGTCCCACCAAGCAATAGGTCGACTTGACCAGGTTCAGCGTAATGTGGATCCGCATGTGGTAAATGTTTGATGTGATTCTATGATTTTACATTGACGGGTTTTAATGGTAAAGCTGATGAAATTGAAGGAATAATAGCAAGTGCTTGCACTTTAAAATTCGGATCTACAATTGAATGTATTTCGATAACCATTCCTTTATTAGCAATTTTATATTGTGATTCACCCATTGGTCAATATCCTATGCAAATTGGAGTAATAGGAAAGTTTAAACGTTGAGCTGCTCTTTCTGTGATTGTCGTTTGTTGTGAACCTTGGTCTACTAAGGCACGAAGACGTATGAGTTGTCCGTGGGCGTCGGGTATGTCGATTAACGCTGTGACGAGAAGCGCTGTATGATTCGAATGAACTAAATTATTTGCAGCAAGCGAAACATTTGGAAATTTCGTTGTCGGTTTAGGGGAAGATCGCTCGAAATTGTTTGTATGAGGATGCAATGTAGTCGGCGATGGAGTTGATGTATCGGGATGTAGAAGAGTGTGGTGTTTACCACCACAAGTGAAGCATGGCTTAGTACTTACAAATGCTGATCCAGTAGAACGACCTAGACAATTAGTGAGCCTTTTCTGCAAATGATTTTCGGTTGATTGGCGTAAGCCCCAGAAAACGTGGACATTTTCGTAGAAGATGCGACTGCTTACACATTGTGCATGAAAGGTTTTTCGCTGAGATATGAACATTTTTTACGTCTTTCCGATTGGGATGTTTACTCGA